ACATATGAATGAAGACAACCAGGATTTGCTTTCACCTTCTGACTTCTTTGACATAGAATAATATCTTTCAGTTCCATCCAAGTTGTTACCAGTGGAAAGAGTTCATCTTTTTTTTTCTTTATAACTGAGTAGTATAGAGTGCACATGTACCATATCTTTATCCGTTTTTCTATTGTTGGGCACAGTGGTGTATCCACAACTTGGTTACTGTAAATAGTACTGCCATGAACATAAGAGGCAGCTATACCCCATCAAATTAGTGTTTTTACATTCATTCACAGAAGTAGAATTGCAGGATCATATGGTAGGTAGGTTTTTAATAGTTTGAAAAATTTCCATGCTCTTTTCCTTTAGAACTGGATCAGTCTAAATTCCCACCAGTAGTGTATGTTGGTTCCTTTTTCTCCACATTCTCACCAACACCTCTGTTTTTTTGTTTTTTCAATATGGGCCAGTATTGTTGGCATGAGGTGGTATCTCATTGTAGTTTTGATTTAAATTTCCCTATTAATAATGGTGGTGAGCATGTGCAAGTGACTGTGAAGCTTTCTGTCCATTTTTTGGCTGGTGGGGTATGAGTTCGTTGTGTATTTTCAATATTAGCCCCTTGTCTGATACATGATGTAAGAACATTTTTTTTTCCCGTTTGATAGGGTATTCTTGTTTTAATAACATTTTTTTTTTTCCTGTTGAGAAGCTTTTTAGTTTGATGTAGTCCCATTTGGTTCCAACAGGTTTTTATTGTGCCTTTGGGCTTTTTTAGGTATCTTGCTATGTTGTCTGCAAAGAGTGATTGTTTTACTTTTTCCAATTTGGATTTCTTTTATATACTTCTCTTGCCTAATTGCTCTAGCTAGGACTTATGTTTAATACTATGGTTTGTTTTTTTTTTAAGATTTATTTATGCATACAGAACTGGGATACAGGCCAGAGGTGCAGGGGTGGTGAGAGTATTCACCAGAGACAGAGTGGGGAGCAGAACAGGCTGACTGAGGGGAGCAGTAGGCGGTCAGGACAGGTCTGCTGTACCATGTGGATCACCTCTGGGACAGGCGGGGATTGAACTCATGCTGAAGTGGCTTTAGCTTCTTAGTGCTATGCTTTAACCCTCTGCGCCACCAGGGAGGGCTCAGTACTATGTTTGATAGTAGTGATGGAGAGGACATCATTGTTTTGTGCCTGATCTTAGAGGAAAAATTTTCAGTTTTTCATAGAATATGTTAGGTATAGGTCTGTCACATATGGCCTTTACTATGTTGAGATATGTTCCTTCTATCATCATTTTTTGATAGTTCTTATCATAAATGGATTTTGAAAATTGTTAAATGCTTTTCTGCATCTATTGATATAGTCATATGAGATCTCTTTCATTTTGTTGACATCATATATTACATTAATTGACTGGCATCTGTTGAAACATCCTTGCACTCCTAGGATAAATCCCACTGGAATCATTGTGATATATGATACTCTTAATGTTTTGTTGAAAATTTTTTTAAATCTATGTTCATTGGGGATAGTGATTTGTAGCGTTCTTTTCTTTTGTGATGTTCTTGTCTGCTCTTTGTATCAGGGGAATGTTAACCTCACAAAATATGTTTGGGAACATTCCCTCTTTAACCTTTGGAAAGAGTTTGGACAGCTATTAGTTTATCATGCCATTTTTTTTTTTTTTTAAGATTTATTTATTTGTTCATACAGAACTGGGGTACAGGCCAGAGGCTCAGGGGCAGCGAGAGGCTTCACCAGAGACAGAGTGGGGAGCAGAACAGGCAGATCTACGAAGTACACTGCTGAGGGGAGCAGCGGGCGGGTCAGGAGAGGTCTGCCTCGCCATGTGGTCACCTCCGGGGCAGACGGGAATCGAACTCATGCGGAAGCGGCTTTAGATTCTCAGTGCTGTGCTTCAACCCGCTGCGCCACCAGGGAGGGCCTATCATGCCATTTTTAAAAGGCATGCAATTGCGATTCATTTTAGAAAGATTTTTTTTTTAAGATTTATTTATTCATACAGAACTGGGGTACAGGCCAGAGATGCGGAGGGTGAGAGGACTCACCAGAGACAGACTGGGGAGCAGAACAGGCAGATCGACGAAGTACACTGCTGAGGGGAGCAGCGGGCGGGTCAGGAGAGGTCTGCCTCACCATGTGAATCACCTCCGGGTCAGGCAGGGATCGAACTCATGCAGAAGGGGCTTAAGCTTCTTAGTGCTGTGCTTTAACCCGCTGTGCCACCAGGGAGGTCTTTTAGAAAGATTTTTATTGAATAAAAATATTTTAGGTGGAAAGTGGTATTGCATTAATCTGGGAATGATTGGTGTCTGAGGATTCTCTTGTTTCCCTGTGGCTTTAATATGTTTGAATCGGGAAAGGTGGTTTATTGAGTTGGAGAGGATACAAAATAATAATTGCTATATGTATCATTTAGTGGAAAGTTGCTTACTTTTTAATTTGCAGTTTAGAAATTTTATTTCTCTCACTTATTCTTAAAACAGCATTGTAGAATCTTGTGTCACCCTACTTCATTGATAGAGAGACTCTGGGTCAGAGACTTCACTGAAGAGTGCCAGAATTGGCATTTAAACTCATGCCTTTTGCACCAATGTGGGAAACACACCTTTTAACCCCAATATCAACCTAGTATGAAAACTAAATTTTAGATGTTTTCTCCAAATTAATACTTTTCCCCATCCCCTTTCTCTGTCCCTTTATTTCCTCCTTTTTCTACTCTTTTTTTGTCCTTTGTTGTGTGCTAACTTGTACATGAGACTATAACCTAAGCTGCCTGGATCAAAGCATGATTTTGCTGGATCAAAGCATGATTTTGAAACATTGCTCTTGCAAGACCCTTTGACTGGAGATGCTGAACCTGTAAACAAGGCGGCCTCTACCACCAAATGTCACGTGCACAGGGCTTTGATCCTGGGAAACTGAGTGGGAGGCTGCCTTCTCCACTTAAAGAATATCTTTGGATGCATGCCACTGTCTTAGTACCAGGAAGAACACATCTCAAACCCAGTGTAGAGCCATATTAACTCAGTACAAAGCACCAAATATAGCACAATGATCTCCTCACAAAGACCTAATGCATATCCTAAGAAATTATTTTTGAATGTCTTTATTGTTTTCCTCATTACCAAGTAGATGCTCTTTGCAAAATTTATATTGCAGACCTAGAAAATTAAAACACCTCATAATTCCATTAATGCCATTGCCCAAAGATAATCCATGTTAACAATTTTAAAGAATCTAATGTGTGAATTAATTCCTCATGTCAAATGGTTCCCCTCTCCCCACTTTCTCCTGTTTGTCTAGCTCAAGTGCTGAGGATTAAGAAGGCTGTTGACCTTCCTCTTTTATTTTTCCTCTTCTATCTGTTGTTTATGTTCAAGATGTACTTTTGAAAGATAGGCAGAGTAGCTGAAAGGAGGAAGGAAGGTATCATTCATTCCAAAGCGTGAGTGAGTTCATTAGTAAAAACTCTAGATTGATGTGTTATTATGTAGTATTCTCTAATGAGTAGTTCACTGAGTACAGGGAATAACTACCTTTCTATAGGCTTGATTTCATTTTTTATTAAATCTGTATTGTTCATTTGGCTTTGTATATAAATATGAAAAGAGAAGTTTAACTATTTTAAATTTTCTAAGAAAAACATAAGGGAATTTAAAGTATTTGGAATTGCATTCTTGCATCTGTAATTTATAGACAAGGAAACTGAAGCTCTAAAAGGTTTGAATGTCATCTTCTTCCCTCTGCTACAGTGAATTGTGTGTGTGGGCTCAGCATGCTCTCTGGATAGATACTTGTAAACTGATACCATTTTTTAAAATGGCCAACACACTACAGAAGCCATTAGAAAACACAGGCAGCCAATGTTGAATTTGCCATGTATACTGCTTCATACAGCCTCCTCTGTGTATGTTATACAGGCTTTCTGACAGACTCCATAATGTAGCTATATGAACTCTGATGCTGGAATGAAATGGTGAAGGTACAGCTATTGGTTCTAACATTAGCTTATCACTTTGGTTAAGGTATATGCCTTCTGGTATGTTCCATGTTCCCTTCCATGAATAGGAATAATGGCAGCACATTTCTTATTGGGAAGGCATATGAGGTCCCTAACACAGATTAAGCACCCAATAAATGTTAATGTTTATTAGTTATATTTTTGTAAAAAATGGGTTCATACTATGAGCCTGGGTATCTAATTTTGAATTATATAACTGATTTTTAAAATCTCCTGCATCATCCTTTTTATGGTTGTATTATGATTACATTATATGGTCTGCTGTGATTTATTAGCTCCTGAACTTATGGAAATGATCATATGGTGGTCAAAAAGCCATTTGCTCTGTGTATCCTTAGAAAACAGTCCTGTGCTGTTCTGAAGTCCACAGCTGGAGAAGCTCAGACCTTTATTAGCACACAGTTTTATCTGAACCAGAATGTAGTATTCTTTTAAGAAACATATGAGGATCTTCCTATTATACACTATTAAACTTCTAAACATTTCAAGATGCTCTCTATTAAATAGATATCCAGGCTTGTAAATATATGCAAATTCTTACGCATTTGTCTTTTTTTTCTAAAATATCATGGGTGATATTTTCTGCCTTGATAAGTGAATAAGTGTCTGAATATTTCCCTGACTTTAGCTTTTGAACATTCATATGCCTGGCTTAATTAGAAAAGGAGAAAGTGCTGTAATTCTGCCATAAACTAGCAATAATGCAGCAGTGGGGATGCTGGCAAACCTTTATTATTCAAATGCTCATGGCTTCTTGAATAAAGTGGATGACTAAGTATACTTCTCATCGTAAGAGAGATTATTAGCAGTGGGAGACACATTTGAACTTGCTGAAAAGGCTGCCTTTGTAGCTAGAAGACTGGCACTCGGTAATTATTAGACCAGGTCTTCATTTTATCCCAGCTGTCTTTCCTTTTTCACGCTTGCAATGTCTGAATAGCTTTCTATTGCTTGCTAATCCCTGCAGGAATGTGGCTTTGGCTACGGGGAGGATGCCCAGTGTGTGACGTGCAGGCCTCACAGGTTCAAGGAACACTGGGGCTTCCAGAAGTGCAAGCCGTGCCTGGACTGTGCACTGGTGAGCCGCTTCCAGAAGGCTAACTGTTCTGTCACCAGCGACGCCGTCTGTGGGGACTGCTTGCCAGGGTATGTTGGATCATTTCTTTCCCTCATCCTTATTTATTACGAGTTTCTCTTACTCCCTGCCAAATAGTGAATGTGCACTGATATTAACCTGGACACCTTTAGTGTTCATTACCTTCTGTCTCAGTATTCACTACAAGTTCTTTGGGCCTTCTACATGCCAATGCACCATGATAGATTTTGGTTACTAAAGAAATGAAAACACATGCTAACAAAGAATTTGTGTCATGAAAATCCAGAGTTCCTACACATCAGTGAAAACCAAAGCATGCACAAATGACAAGAGAATGAACAGTCTATTCATGGAGGAGGAAACAGGTATATCCGGTTTTCAGATGAAGATGTTTATCCTCCTTGGTGATCAAAGATATGCAAATCATGACCATCCAGTCACTTCAGTGGAAGTTCTAGGAGCAGCTGTGAGAAACTGCTTAGGTCTAGAGGCAAAAATCCCTACCCAAGGGAGCACCGGTCCTAATGAGGTTTTAAACCCTTCTCAACAATAAATAATACAAAAGTAAATTATGCAGAAAGATAAGACGATTGTTAATTATAGACAAAGAGAGATAGACCTTTCTTTTTGGTGTGGTTAATTGTGGCCCCAGTGAAGAAGTTGCATGTTAGAGTGGGAAATCAGGGGAGACATCATTGTCAAATCAGAGCTGAGCAAAGAGTTAACTGGACTCCTAGGTGAGGGAAGAGCATTTAGGCACAGGGGCTCACTAGAGGTGGGCCATAGGTCTCTCCTGAATTTGGTATTTTTAAGGAACTGCAGGGAGAGACGAGGGGGAACAGAGTAGGAAGTGGGCTGAGGGAGTGGGCAGGTGTGAACGCAGCAAATCTAAAGTGTGTAGATTCCCAGACCTTGGGGAGAAAGGGACTATACCTGGGCCAGGTGGAAAAACACAGCTCAGAGGAGGAATTTTTAAGTTTTTAGTGTAACCCTTGGACAAATAAGCCAGACCAAACACTCAGTACAAGGACAGTGGGTATGGAGAGCTGGATCATCTGGCAGGGGACCAAGAGTCCTGACTACACAGGGTAACGAAAGACTAACAGCTACATGGGTATGGAGTGGAGTTAGTGTTAACCAACCAAAGGCAGGCAAAGCCAGACCAGAATTCCTGGAGCGTTGGAAACCAGACTTTGTAACAACATTGAAACATGCATTAGCTACACAGTTTGTATTTTCTATAATGTTCACAGTTTTACCAATGTAGAAAGTGAGACTTATCCAGGTTTAAGGTATTTCAGAAAAAGCTTTTGGCCCATAAAAGGTGATGCTAGAGCAACTCCCAGGAGTGTGACCCCCCCGGAACTGCCACTCCATGTCACTGCAGAGAACTCTGAGAGGACTCACCAGAACATGCCCACAAGATCGGGATGGCTGTAACCTAGTGGCTCAGTGATAGTTCTGGAGCTCTTATTGATGCCAGAAAGTAGATAAATCTCTGGGCCTCACAGCCTTCTTCCTCTAAAAGCTATACACAGAGTCACTTCAGTGGAAGTTCTAGGAGCAGCTGTGAGAAACTGCTTAGGTAGAGTTCTACACAACCTAGCAATTCCACTCTTATAGTCAAGAGAATCGAAAACATATGCACATAAAGCCTGTACACAAATACTCACAGCAGCATTATATGTAATAGTTAAAAAAATGGAGACAACCTAATTTTCTATCACTGATGAATGAGTCAACAGATTGAAGTATATTTGAACAATGGAGTATTATTTGGCAATAAAAGTGAATGAAATATTAACACATACTACAAAATGGATGAGCCTAGAAAGCACTACACAAAGTGAAAGGAGTCAGCCACAAATGACCAAATATTGTGTGATTCCATTGAATCATGCTAATGCATGTTTCAATGTTGTTACAAAGTCTGGTTTCCATGGCTCCAGGACATTATGAAGTGTCCAGAATAGGCACATCTGTAGTGATAGAAACTAAATGACTGGTTGTCGAAGGCTGGAGATTTGGGAGGTTTAAAAAGGATGGTGTGTGTGACGGGGAGGCAAAGAGTTAAAGTGTGTATTGTCTTTTATGGCATGATGACTCTGTTCTAAAACTGATTTTGCTGATGGTTACACAACTCTGAATATACTGAAGACCATTTAATTGTACACTGTGACTGGGTGAAATGTGAATTCTATCTCAGTCTCTATTGTTGAGAAAAAGCAAACTATAATCTCAGACAATGCTGATACCTGCAAATATAGTGCCCCAGAGTTTGACCTTGTGCTAATCTAATTGAGGAACAGGAAGGGAACATGTGACACATCTCAGTTGTTGCTATTCTGATAAAAGCATGTTTGTACACATGTGCTTTCTTCTGGGAGACAGGAAGCAGAAGAAGTCCATAAATGTGGGGGTGAGGTAGGCAGTGTTCAGAGAGTGTGAGGAAGAGTGCAGGGGATTTGGATTTACAAAGAGGAAGCCCACGGGGTGCAATTGGGTGACAGAGGAGCCATCCTTCCAGGCACCTCCCCCTCAGCATGTTTCCTCTTGCTTAACCCCATTCACTGTCATCTGAGTCCAGTGCTTTAGTTTCTACAATGTTTGTTCATTCTTTAAATAAATGCTGTGATGCAAGAAAGCTATAAATGAATAGCTGTTTCATAGTTTATTTATATGATTAGTTTACAGTTACATCTTTTTCAAGCCAGCATGAATGTATGAGGCAGACAATAATTATAGTAACTTGTAGCTATATATTCCAGAGTTCCTTAAAAGTGCTCATAACTACAGATTTGTTACTATAATAAGAAACTTGATTATATTTGTGTGAAGGATACAAGTAGTTGAAAGCCAGTTCACAGATATGGACATTGAAACAAAAGGGAAATAATAGGCAAACTGAATGTTCTAGAAAAGTAACATGAAAATCAGGCTTTCAGGCTTACAGCTGGGAGTTCTCTTTCTGCTACTACCCCTACCTTCTGCACCCCTCAATATCACTCAAATAAGGTCTTCTGCTGCCTATAGGCTCAGCACTAGCAGGACTCCAGTTACTTTTTCCCTAGTGCAGGTACATGTGGAAATAGTCTGTCCTCTGTACCCACAATTTAAGTGATTAGAGACCCAGGCTCCTTGTTCCTGAATGTGAAATTAGTGTTGCTGCTTAATTTCATTGACAGCCATTCTTCTCACCTATAGAATTATTATCTAATAACAATACCAACCTGCAGAATTGTTGGAAAGATGAAGAATCTATTGTATAAAAGTGCCTAGTCCATAGTGCATTGAAAAAGTACTTGATATTGTTGCCAATGAATGTTTTTTGGCCCCCAGCAAAATCTTTGCATGCCTTTTTTTCCAAGTGTGGTCAATGAATTCCACCCTTTTCTTTCTGGCTCCCATGACCCTGTCCTCTCTCTATTAAGGAAACCTGGGTCCAACCTGAAAGAAAAAATTGGCCCTTTCTTCAAAAGTTCCTTGCTGCTTCTGGTAATCATGATAGCTAACATTTTTTTTGAGCACTTACTAGGTGCTGAATACTATAGGCAGATTAATTTTTCTAGTCATCAAAACACACTTTACCAAGTAGGGATTAATCTACTCCTTTACAAAGGAGGGAATTTGTTCCAATAAATGACTTGCCAATTTGTACCTCCAAAGGTCTGAGAGTATTGCTGAGCTCCTGTATGTAACCAGGCATCTAACTTTGCAGGGAGGTGTCTCCTGGCCATCTGTGATGGGTGACTCACCGTGAGAACGATAGCTGCCTATTCTGTACCCAACTCCTGTATCACCCTCACATTTCCCCATCTTTGAGTTCACTTCTTCCCCTTGCCTATTCCCAGATTGTATCTAGTAACCACCACACTGTTCATGAGCTCTGGGTCTTACCCTAAATATTCATCTTCACCTTGGTATTTGTTCAGTTTCAGCAAGGGGCCTCTGCTATGTACTATGGAGAAACATGACCAGCAGGTTGACCATCCAGTATGGAACTGGATGCTAATAATAGTATAGGAGAGAGCAGAGTTATCATCGGGTAACTATCAGGAGCACCATGGGACATTTCACTAAGATTTGATTGTTATACATGGGGCATGGTAACTGCAGTGAAAATAGCATTAAGCAAGATCATTATAAAGCCAAAACTAGACTTCTGCTGTGTCATCTACTAGCAGACTTGCTTTCATTGATTGAACAGATTATGATCAATGAGCAGATTTTCTTGAAATAATTTTAAAACAGGATGCTCCTTAAGCTAACTATTGTTATTTGAATTCAATTTAACCAAAAGTTCCTTTTCAAATTCAGTATTGGGGGGAAATTTGGATCCATAGGATGTATTTATTTAGTTTCACATGCAAGTTTTGCTTCAAACAAAAAAGACTACAGATTTGTTACTATAATAAGAAAATTTGGAAGTTATATATGTAAAGAATGCATGTGTATTTCTTACATATGAAGATAGCTACACATAGAAATTACTTGAATTTCCAATTCCTAGAAATAATCATTTGAGGATTTAGTATATACTACCCTTTCTAAATTCATTTTAAAACAACTATATACACATTAGTGTTTCTAGTTGCATTGGAAAATAATCTGGTAGAATCTGTTTGTTCATGCAAAATGGATTCTGTTATTCACTCTTCTTTTTAAAATGATACATGTATTAAAATTGTGTATGGAAGAGCTGCATCGCCATTTCTAAAGGTCACTTGTATTCCACTGCCTTGTTCTACTATGCATGGTTGATCATATCTATTGCTGGATATGGGAAATTTTTTTTTCTTATAATACAACTTCACCTACTTGGTTATTTCTTTCAAATAAATTTCAAAACTTGGAGTTACTGCATATAATATATATCCTATATAGCTTATATGATATTAAGCTGTAAGTTCTGTTGGCATGTTAATAAATTGCCTTCCAATTTATATTCCTATTGGCAATATACACATGTACTTATTTGCCTGTGTTCACACAAACACTTTCCTTTTTTTACAATAAAAATGGCATGTTTTCCTTGCAGTTTGCATTTTATTAATTCTGCAGTTAAAATTGTAATGTTGAATATTTGTGTAAAAGCATCAAGTTTTTTCAGTTTAACTATTTAACTTTAAATTTAAAATATTCTTTGTGGAAATTTATTTTCTTTGCTTGTTTTCTAATTGCAGTGTTGACTTTCACTGTAATGCTTTTTAATTTTTATGTATAGACATAAATTATAGACATATTATGATTACAGCTGTTTTTCAATTTTCTTTTTCCGTTAACCTTATTGGTGATGCTTTATTTTTGCAGAAGCCTGAAATATTTTTGTGTTTGTTTATGTGCTCAAAGTTATTAATCTACTCCCTTGTTGCTCTTGGGTTTATTGTGACAAGAAAGATGTCCCCATACCAATATTGTATTAAATATCTCCTACATCTTTTTGACTTGCTTAGCTTTTTTCCCTCTGAATCTCAAATGTCAAAAACAAGCACTTCATTTACAAGAACTTTGCTGTTTAAATTATAGTAGAAATGTTAATAACATTCTGGTTTAATATTCCTTAACCAACACTCCCACCTCGACATAAAAAAAAAAAGGAGCTGAGTAGAATCTACAGTTATGTTTAGTGAATTGGTAGTTATTAAAAGTTCACTGAATGCTCAGAGGGTTTTCTAAGGATGTGTCTAAGGTAATATTATATTTAACTTATGAGAACCTTTCTTTATCTAAGTAATAGAATTGGTAATGGAAAATGCCAATCATTTGTGAAATAAATCTGTTTGCTATAACTTGATCTTGGATGAAAGGATTATTTTCCTTTCTCTTCTAGATTTTACAGGAAGACCAAACTTGTTGGCTTTCAAGACATGGAGTGTGTGCCGTGTGGGGACCCTCCTCCTCCTTATGAACCACACTGTGAGTGAGCGCCATACAAACACAGCAGAAGGGCTCTTGGCCTTTTTTAAAAAACCCTCTTCAGTTGGCAAATGGAGCAAAATCTCTCTCTACTGTGGGGCTTATAATGTGCACTCTTTTATCAAGCTTCCAGCAGAACATAAAGCCCTTTTGTTGTGTGCCTGAGCCAGCACACTGTGTCTGTTGAATTGGATCTAAAGTGAAATATAGACATTTTGCGGCTGTGTTCCATCTAAATTCTTATCCTTCACTCTAGATATATAATGCCAGCAGAGTCAGTTAACTAGGTGGTCCAAATCCTAATGCTTAATTTCTTTGTGCCATGGCCCCATGAATTCCTGTGTTTTCCCTTCTTAGTTCCCACACACTGTCATTTGGCTCCTTTGCCTTTCTAGAACATTCCTCCTTATAATCACCTGCCCTACTTAATATACCCTGAAATGGAATCATAGTCCATTTCATTGACGTCTTCATTTTTTTAATCTAACAAGAGAAAACCTAGTGTGTGTCTTGACTAAAACTATAAGAAAGTTGTGCCTTTTCCTCTTTATACTAACATTAGTTCATTTTTTTCTTTAGACATAAATGGTACTTGTTACAAGTTTTCACCTGCACTGATTTCAAACTAGAAAGAATGATTGTTCACTCTTCTTAATCCTGAATACAAACCTGGCTGATGAAAACCCAGGTGGTGGACCAGGAAAGGCATTGGCAGGTGGACTTCCCCAGGTGTGCTCAGAGCATGCTCGACTTTGCCCAGCAGGACTTTGTCCCTATACACAGGAAACAGGGAGGTGGGAGGGAGGATTGAGGAGGGTTCCTTAGGCTATACCTAGGTTGTTCATAATTTTCTGGGAAGCGTTGGCAATCTAGATGTTTATATTAGAACTTGTTTTTATGTAATGTTCAGGGCAAGGAATGTTTTCTTGCTTCTTTCTATGATAGAAGCCCTCTCTGAACTATTTTACCAGGTCATATAATACTTCTCTTTCAAGAATGTTATGGTATGCTGCAGTCCATGCCATTATATCCTTTACCAAAATGAATTACTTTCTACTCATTTTTTGAAGTGTTAGAAAAAAATTGAAGAGTTTCTGTTATAGAAAGGTATATTGACCTTCATTTTGATAATATGCACCAAATAAATCACTGCAGTTAACAGATGAAATATACTGGATACTTATTATGCATTAGTCACTATTGAGAAATTATTGTTGTACTTAATTTGCTTAGTAATCCAATCATCCTCACATTTGTCAATGAAGACAATAGGTCCAAAGTGCTGTATAGTTTTTTACTGTTAGCAGGTAAATGACAGAAACAGTGAATTAAGGCTGTTTAACTTAATACCCTGTTTTCTCTACCACACTTACTGTCTAAGAAAAGCCAGCCTATTTAATCTGGTGTAATCTACCATATGTTGACTTTTTCTTGTTTTTTTCTTTAATGTTCATTATTTAATGAAAAAGCATATAACAAAGGAGATATGAAAAAAGCATTTTTATGCTCTACAGCACATAAAAGCATTTAAAATGGGGCAGTGACTTGATCTTCCCTTTGAGTTGGGTGAGCTTTCATTTTGTCTATAATCAAATCAAGATTATATATTTCTTCCTAAACGACCATAGAAAGATTTAGTAAAGTGGCCTTCCCTGGTGGTGCAGTGGGTTAAAGTGCAGCACCGTGAAGCTGGCCACAGCCGCTTTAGCACAAGATGTATCCCGGCCAGGGAGGTGACCACATGGCACAGCAGACCTCTCCTGGCCCTCCCACTGTTCCCCTCAGCAGTGTACTTTGTGGATCGCCTGTTCTGCTCCCCACTCTGTCTCTGGTGAATCCCCTAACCGCCCCTGCAACTCTGGCCTGTCCCCCAGCTCTGTATGCATAAGTAAATAAATCTTAAAAAGAAAAAGAACAGTCTTAAAAAAAAAAAAAGATTTAGTAAAGAAATTGGTATGACCTCATTTGAAAATAGAAAGTAGTAGGGTTTCTTTTCTCTTTAACTTATTGGGTTTAAATTTAATGTAATATAAGTCTGAAGAACTGGAAATTTTTGCCTTTAGGGATCTGGCCAGGCCTGGATATTAGCAATTAATCTTAACACATAGATGTCACATTTGATTTTAATTTTTTGAAGCACTAATTAATCCACAATTAGAAAAAAGTAATTAACTAGTTCATCTTATATGTATAAATATACTTTTAACATATGAAATTTTGCAGAAAGCAAAGAATAAATTATCTCATAAAATCAGAAATACAGTGTTCATAGCTAATAACCATTTTAATAATGAAACAGCAGTCTGATGGTCTATGGTGAGGCTTAATCCTTATCTCTGTAAAGCAAAGTTTGCTGCCTTTGGCACAGTTCTTGGGAATAAGTCCAGAATACAACTAATCTCTTCAAAAGAGAGTTTGAAGTCTTTGGGAGGAAATTATGTAAGGCGCCTTGTGTTTTCATTGCTTCTACTTTGAGCTTTCCAACCCATCCACTAATAACTGCTTCTTCAGTTATTTTTCTCCTCGAGGAGTTCCTACATTATTTAGATAATTAATTATAAGAAGTGATGCTACCGAACTTCCTCAAAGTAATGGGGCTTGTTTCAAGGAACACATGGTAGTAAGAGAAGCCCAAATTTCCCAGAACCCAGGACTACTTCCTAGGAGTCTGGGGACACTAACTTCCCTGAGCAGGAGGCTCTGAGGTCTGGATCAGTGCCACACAATCACTTTCTCGGCCCTCAGGACTCTTTTTATGTCTCTTGGTTCTCCTGTACACTTTAAATGAACTACTTTGGTCTATACTTCCCTATTCAGGCTCCCGTAGAAGGCAGTCTGATTGTTAGTTGATAATTAAATGCCATCACTCTCTGAAACAGAGCCTCTTTTTTACTGACCTTTTGAGCAAGTACTTGAGTGCCTATGGGATGCCAGGTACACTATGGAGAACAAATAGACTCTAGACCTTTTCTTCATGGAACATATGGTATAGTGAGGAGGTCTTGGGTCACTACTCTGAACTAGACAGGATTTCAATCTTGCACATATTGTGACTGATCAATCTCTAGCTTGGGAGGATCCAGTCATGTTCTCTTAAGAGTGTATAATGGGCAATGACTTCAAAGCATTAGGGAAGATATTCCTATATTGTATCTTTTGAGCACTTCTAAAGGATCATTTGGAAAAGGTTGAATCTGAAAAGGATACTAAATAGAGGAATCAAGAAGTCAGAGGAAACAGAGTATTGTGTCCAGAAACATTTGGGTGATGTGTGCAAGCCAATTGACATTAACAGTGTCCTTTAGCACTCTGAAGGTCTTTGATGACAATGACAAGTACCATACTAGTGAGTAATGAAAATGGAGACAGAGTAAAGTGAAATGGTAAGAAAAGGATGGAGATGATTATAGACACACACCATTGTCCAGATGTCATCCATGAAAGAATAAAAGGTGGTACATGGAGTGTTCAGGCAAGGAGGGAGGGTTGCTTTTATATTTTTTAGGTAAGAGACACATCTGATGTTTGAAGGTTGAAGGGAAGGATCCAGTAAGTGAAGCTGACACTCTTATGTAAGAGAACAAAAGAGTGGGCAGCCACATACAATTTACTGGGGAAGGAAGCTGAAGCATAGGTGTTGGGTTGGCTTCTTCTGGAAAGAGGGAGAGTCTCCTGTTCTAACTAGGAAGGAGGGGACAGCCAACTGAACATGGTTATGGTTTCAGGTTTTAATAGGGTATGAGAAGTGACAACTCTGCAAGGCCCCTATGTATGTGAGGTAGGAGGCTCCAGGTCTGTCAAGTGAGGCAAGAGCCAGGGAACTCAGGATCTAGAATATAAAGCAACTGGCAGGAGACCATAATGCAGCAAGACAATAATAATTCGTGATTTCAATATACAACTTACACAAAAAGATAGATCACCCAGATAGGAAACAAATTAGGAAATGAAGTATTGCATTAGATTGACTCAGTCTATATTAACAAAGCCTTCCTTCCCCAAAGAAATATACATTCTCAAATACACATAAAATATTCTCAAGGATAAGCCATATGTTTATACACATAGCATGTCCTGAAAAACGGTAATAAAGCTAAAAAAAAAATATTTGGAGACTAATTAAAAAAGAGAGACAAATTACCAAATCTTATAGGATGCACTAGAAACATTGTTAAGGAGGCAATACATAGCCATATAGACCCACATCAATAAGCAAGAAAAATCTTACATAAATAATGTAACATTATAACTTAAGGAACTAGAAAATGAATAAATGAAATTGAAAATCAGTAGAAGGAAAGAAGTAATAAAAATTAGAGTGAAAATAAATGAAATGGAAAACAAAAAGAAGATCAATAAATCCAAGAGGTAGTTCTTTGAGGAATAAACTAAATTGATAAACCTTTTACTATAAACACTGAGAAAGAAATGAAAAAATTAAAGTGAAAAGAATCAGAAATGAAAAAAGTGAAAACAGATAGTGCAAAAATGCAAAGAATGATAAGAAACTGCTGTAAACATTTTTTGCTGAACAATCTAGAAAAAATAAGCCAATTTTTTATTTTCCTTCTGCTTCTAAAACTGAAGCAGAATGAAATAGAAAGCACAGAAATCTCCTGAAGAACAAAAATCCAAGGCCAGTTGACTTCATTATTAAATTCTGCCTAGCTCTGCTACTCAAACTCATCCAAAAAATTGGGAGTAGAAAGTTTCCTAACACATAATTCTTTGATGCTAAAACCAAACAAGGACAGCATAAAACAAAAATTATAGACTGATACATTTAAAGAATATAGATGCAAAATATCTTCAATAAAATCTTAGCAAATTGAATGCAGCAGTATCTTAAGAATCATTCATTATCCCCAAGTAGGACTCACTCAGGGATGCAAGGTTGGTTCAAAATATAGGAACCAATCAGTATCATTCATGAAATTAACAATAAGAAAGATAAAGACCACATGATTATTTTAATAGATGTTGAAAAAGCATTTCACTAG